GGGAGTACATAATGGGAAGGCCCACCCTGAGCGTGAGTACTACCTGCCCTAAAAGCATGTAGCCTGGATAGAATACAAGGGACAGCTGCTGCTGTTTCACTACTTTGCAGCTTCCCTGACTTCTGCCCACCATGAACTGTTCCTTCTCTGAGATGCCCCTCTGCTTTGCTACCCTGCAGTGGAGCCAGTAGGGACTGAAACCTCTACAAACTGTAAGCCAAATAAACCTTTCCTCCTTTAACTTTTGGTGTTCGGTATTTTGTTTCAGCAACAAGAAAAGTAACTAAGACATATATGTTCAAAAGATCAAAAGCCAAAGAGAAAACTCTTATGGCAGTCAGAGAGGAGAAAGCATTTTAGGTACAGAGGAAGAGTGATAAAAAACCCTACTATTAAGAGACTTGGCAAGGAAGACGTCAGCAGGGTGATGACTATACAGTGTCCATCCAGTATCCTATATCCAATGCAAATGCTCTCATGTGTAAAGAAGAAATAAAGATTTCCCCAAATTAACAAAAGTAATTTGCTGTTGGAAAATCTGCCCCATAGGGCCGGCGGTATAGCTCAGCAGACTAAGTGCTTGCTTAGGTAAGCACAGGGGCCAGGGTTCAATACCTGGCTCTGCCTGCTGTGCCAGTCCCACCTTTGGGTGCGCTGAGCCAGTGATGGCGTCCAGGTGCGGTGGCGTGCGCCTGTAATCCCAGGATTGGGAGGCAGAAATCAGGAGGATCGCTACTAATGTGGGCTATGCAGTGAGACCCTGAACCCCCTCTCAAAAAAAAAAAAAAAAAAAAATCTGCCCTATGAGGAATACTAAAGAAGTTCTTCAGACAGAAGTAATTTGTAAAAGTTAGAAACCTGGATCTACAAAATAAATGGAGATAAAATGTCTTATTTTTCACTGCTCTAAAAAGTAACTATTTAAAGCAGTACTAGCAGACTGGGTGTGTACTACACATGTAACAGTGACGTGCATGACAACACAGGACAGAGAGGAAGGATAAACATCCTATAATGATGCATCACATGTAAAGTGATAAAATAATTGAGGGTAAACTCAGGTTATTTAAAAATGCATACTGTTCATCCAAAGACAACCACTAACATATCTTTTTTAAGCAATATAAATAAGTCAATAAACAGAATTCCAAAGAAAAGCTTAATTTGTAGCAAAGAAGATAAAAGGAAACAAATACAACAAAGTAACGGCTACAATAGCATCCTGCTAGTCGGTATCCTACAGAAATGTTGGTCCCAGTTCTGCACAGGTGGCTGGTGGTAGAAACCTTAAAAGGTGGGCCTGCTGGGACTTTGAGATCACTGGGGCAACTCTCCAGAGGGACATGGGGCCACCTTCTTTTCCTCTTGATTCTGAGCTGAGCAGCTCCACTATGCAATTCACTTCCCTCCACCATCATGGGCTGCTTTGCTGCAGGCCTAAAAAGCAACAGGCCATGTGACATGGACTGTAACCTCCAAAACTATGAACCCAAGTGACCCCTTTTTTTTCTGAGCTTGTTTACCTCAGGTATCTGTAACAACAGCTTTCCACTAAATATGTATGCACAATCAAGGCTTCAAAATACATAAGGCAAAAACTGGTAGATATGACAAGGGAACACAAAAATCCACAAGTGTAACTATAGACTTTCAACATTATTGATAAAAACAAGCCACTATCTCCTGCCTTTAAACTAGGTGACATATACAAGACAGTCTATCCTAATAATATCCTCAAGTACACATGGAATATTCACAAAGATACACCAGGTTCTGAACCATAAAATCACACTAAAAAATTAAAAAAAAAAAAAAAAAAAAGAAATGATACAGTTGGGACTAGTTGAGGAATGAGAATCCCAAGTTGTGTTGTCTAGTAGTCTCACTACTACATGGGTTCTCCTAAGCAAGAGTATCTCAAAAAGAACAGAGGGTACATTTGTATTTCTCTGTGTGTGTGTGTTTGTGTGTGTGTGTGTGTGTGTGTGTGTGTGTGTGACGTAGTACAGCACACATTAACGACAATAAGAAGCTAGAATGTTCACTTCCCCAGGATTAATGGACATTCAGAGGAAGGCCTTCTTCAATCCTACAGACAACTAACCTACTGGCAACTCAGTATAGCAATTAAGAGCACAGACTTCCTCATAAGCCATTCATCAGCTGTGTGTCTTGGGAATGAGGTTGTTATATAAACCCCATTAAACAAATGTCTACTTGGCATAAATGCAAGCAACTTAGTTATACAACATGATAAAGGCTTCATATACAGTTGGCCCCTTACAGCCACAGTCTGCATCAGTGATGGATTCAACCAGCCTGGATGGAACATACTGGGAATAGTGACTGTGTTATATCAAGTATGGACATGTGTTGTCAACTGGTCATCATTTTTTTAAACAACATACTACAACTATTTAAATAGCATTTACGTTGTATTAGGTATTGTGAGTAACCTGAAATGATTTAAAGCATACAGAAAGATACATGTGAGGTATATGCAAATTTATGTACTTATTCTGGTTTTCTGAGACAGGCTCTCACTGTGTAGTTCAGGCTGGCCTTGAACTCTCAGTGAGTGACTCTTGTGTCCTTGCAACACCACACTTGTCCACTCACACCATTTCACATAAAGGACATGAGCACACACAGATTTTGATATGGGAGAGGATTCTAGAGCCAAGGCCCCACAGATACTGAGGAACAACTTACGCAGTATTTTAATTTTTTCAAGATGTAAAGAACAAGAAAATATTCAGATATGCTTTCATTAAATTATAAACCAGTTACCACCTTACATCCATTAGGATGACTATTTTAAAAAAATGTTATCAAGGATGGGGAAAAATTGGAATCAGTGTGAACTACTGGTAGGAATATAAGATGGTATGATTCTAGTCCCAGAAATACACCCAGAAGAATTGCAAGCAGAATCTCAAAGGGATATCTGCATAAACATGTTCATGGCAACATTATTCACAATAAGTAAAATGTAGAAACAACTCAAGCATCCACTGATAAATCTGGCTAAACAAAATGTGTTACATACAATGAAATGTAGTTCCACCTTAAAAAGAGAGGGGAAAAAAACCCCTTCAATATGCTACAACACAGATGAACCTTGAGAACACTATACTAAGGGAAGTCAGCCAATTGGAAAAAGACAAATACTGTGTGATTCCACTAGTATTGAGTAGTCAGAATCACAGTTACAGAAAGTAGATAGGGCTTGTTGAGTACTAGGGTGAGAAATGAAGAGGAGTTACCATTTACTGAGTTAAAGATTTTAGTTTTACAAGACCAAAAGAACTATGGAGATAGGTGGTAGTAATGGCTATGTATATATATATATATCACTGAACTATAGGCTTACAAATGGTGAAGATGGTAGATTTAGTTATATGTATATTACAATAAAGAAGTTAATCATAAACCAGCTAATGTAGAGAATGTTATAGCTCAAAGCCAAACAATACCTATTTTGTTTTAAATTTTCTGTCCATAATGACTCTATCAGCTGACATGCTTCTGAGCAAGGAGTCATTTTAGTCAATCTCAGAATAAAAAACAAAAAGTTTACTGGAGAGGAGGGAACTGCTGAGTAGGAAAGTAAGAAATATACTATTAACTACTCCAAAAGTCACTGCACTGACAGTGCAGCCCAAATTGCATGCCAACACTCAGGTAACATGAAGAGGACAAGGACATTTCTGAGAAGTATTAAAATGACTATTAATCATTCATTCAGCAAGTATTATCTAATTCCTACTTTTGGTTAAAACTGTAGTATGACAGGGCATGGTGGCATATACACAGGAGAATCACAAGTTTCAGGCCAGATGGGCAACTTAGGGCAAGATACTGCCTCAAAATTAAATATATAAGGGCTACAGATGCCTAGACCCTGGGTTCAATCCCCAATACTGGAGGCAAAACTATAGTACACATCAACAAATATAAACATCTAAAGAATAGGGAAACTAACTATAGGCACAGAAGTATGGAAAAGCAATTCCTACTACAAAGTCATATCACCAAAATGACACCCAGGATTTGTAGGCAGATTTATTTACGTCATCAGGCATGGACTGGGAAAATCTCCAGAATATCAGGCCCTGATCTCTAACGCTTATATACGATAAGCATGCCAGGAAATACAGAGGCAGAATGGCTTGTCAATTGGGGATTGGTTTATACAACACACGTTGAGTTTATACAATGAACATCATAGTGATCAGCTATGCATCACGGTGACCAACCATTTCTGAAAGACTAGAAGGAACCAGAACTGCAACAGAAACTATTATTTATCCAGGCAACTAACTGAAGTATACTGGCTGGGAGGTGGCATTTTCTGTGATACTACATTTGTATTTACTTATATTTTAAAAGCAAAATAATATAAACTGAATAAAATAAGGCATACTTAAATCTACATCACGTTATCCCACAATAAATAAACTCAATGTACCAGAAAAAAGTAATTAAAATCTAGATACTTGAAAAATTTTTAAAAGTTCAGTGGGAAAAGAAGAAACTGGGGAAACAGTCCAGTGAGAAACCTTCTTAAACCAGATAAAACAAGACAGACATCATCCTCGTGAATTCTGGCAAGGTCAAGTCTCAGCCTTATTCATAAAACTCTTGGATAATGTCCTTGGCCTAAGGAAATCCATGCTATTTCACAGTTACTATTTGAAAGCTTGAGTATGGATATGGTTGCTTATGGGAACTGTCTATTTTTGAAGGTAAGCAAAGGGTTCACAATGGTGTTTCAACAATTCTAAGTTATAAAAACAATGGGCATTGTAATTCATGGCAGAATTTAAGATCCTATAATAAACATAAGCTGAAGTATCATAAATTACTAAACATTTCTACAGAAATAATGAAAGTTAAAGCAAAAAAAAAAAAAAAAAGCTGGTTCAGTGTTATGTCCCATGCCTTCCACCCGTTTCCATTGCTTGCCTCAATAGTTTGTCAGGCCCTCAGCAGCCAGTATGGTGCAGCAGATCAAAAGCAAAGAGGCTGGTGCAGGAGATAAACTTGTAGTAGCTGATTTCTTAGCCACATGGTGTGGGCCCTGCAAAATGATCAAGCCTTTCTTTCATTCCTGTCTGAAAAATATTCCAAAGTGTTGTTCCTTAAAGTAGATGTGAGTGACTGTCAGGATGTCACTGCAGAATATGAAGTTAAATGTATGCCAACCTTCCAATTTTTTAAAAAGGGGGAGAAGGTAAGGGAGTTTGCTGGTACTAATAAGAAAAAGCTTGAAGGTACTATTAATAAGTTAGTCTAACTGTGTTTTCTGAAGAACATAACTAGCTACTGGCTGTTTAAAACTTTTTATTAAAAAAATAAAGCTTTTTATTTATAAAAAATATGAAGTACAAAAGTATACCTAGGGCTAGGGAGATGGCTCAGTAGAATAAGTCTTTGCCTGGCAAGTGCAAGAGCCTGAGTTCAATCCCCGGTTCGGCAAAAAAAAAAAAAAAAAAAAGAAGAAGAAAGTATACTTAACTTACATTTGATTATAAATGACAATAAAATTTTATTTCTACCCTTTAAAAAAAAAAAAAAAGCTAGTTCTTCTGATTCCAAAATGGCCAAATATCTTAGGATGGAAGTTCAATAACAAACCGTAAGTCATGAAGACGTAGGCGTAGGCAAGACCTTTCTTTTTTTTTTTTTTCCATTTATTCAGATTTTCAATTTCTTTTAATAGTTTTCTATAATTTTCAGCATACATTTTTCACTTTTTTGTTAAACTTATCCCTTGTAATGGAATTCTTTCACATTTTATGTTCTTTTCAGATTGTTTACTACTAATGTATAGACGTACATTTGAATTTTGTATAATCTTACATTCTTCAACCCTACTAAACTTTTTTTTTATTAGTTCTGATAGGTTTTTTGGGTGGATTTCTGAGGATTTTTCCATTTACAAGATCAAGTCACGTGCAGAGATTTCACTTCCTTCTTTTCCATGTGCGATTCTTGCATTTCTTGTTCTTGCTGAATTGCCTTGGTTAGAACCTTCCCACCCATTATTAAATACAAGCAGGGAGAATACAGACCTTAGAATCATAGTCTTTTTGGATGCCTAGATTGTTTCTCCTTTGGCAAGTAGAGCCCTTAAAATTGTTTATCGTGTCCTTCTGAAGTGTCACCGATTGTATTCTGTAGCTTCCTTGTTTTATGCAACAATAGCTGGTACATCTTGCACAACTCTTGCCCCAGGTCTGAAATCCACTGCTTCTTCAGGGAGTCCCAGTTCCCCACAGCATATTAAGGCAGGGTTTGAGAAGCCACATGCTGGGTACAAGGAGTACCCATTGTTTTACTTGCCTTTTCAGTGAGCGGAATTGTGGACTTTAAGGTTTTTAGAATGATTAAAACAGTTACCAAATTCATACTCATATCTTCAATACAAAATTAAATTTTCTCCTACGTTGAAATCTTAGTTCTATTTTTTTTAAATGTATTTAGTACAGGGTATACAGGGTCTCACTATGTAGATCGGACTCATAGTGATCCTCCTGTTTTCAGCCTCCCAAATGCTGGGATTACAGGTGCGCACCACCACGCCCAGTCTCGGTAGTCATCTCAGTGTGCCCGTGGGAGGGTCGGAGCCACCACAGCATGCAAGGGATTGAACCCCCTAACCCTGGTGTCTGCCTAAGCTTAGTTCTTAATAATATTAAAATAGTCGCTTACTGTAGGGATCTGTTGGTTTCTCAGTAGTCCCTGGGAGAAAACAGCAAGAAGATTCAGAAAATAAAGCTGTGAGATGATAGCTGAGGTAGGTGGTGGACCATGCCTGATTGGCAAAGGAACCCCAAACAACAGTGTCAGCGTTTATTTATACCTTTGCAAAGTTACAAGACACAAAGTTGCCTAGCAACTAATAGCCAACAATGTTCAGGCAGGATGTTTTTCTCAAGACTGGAGTAGCACCTGGGAGATAGCTCAGGGGCATAAGTGCCACCTGGCAAGCACAAGGTCCTGAGTGTGATCCCCAGTACATAACAAACAATAAAAAAAAGACCTAGGTAGCTTGACTGCTTTAGGCAATGAGGCCTCATCCTGCCCTCCCACATAAGATCAATTTCTCACCTTAGCAGTTCCCAGCAGCTTACTATCTTTGTTTTACCCTAATGTATGTGTATATAATATATCTATGTATTGATATGCACGCTTGTGTATTATCCACACTCACAGTTTCAAATAGCAATGGTAGGACCATCACTAAGTTTCAGATGCTTTTGTCCATAGGGCATATCCTACAAGAGATACACAATCGGTCCTACATGTCTGCAGTTATTTGACATTATTTCCTTTCATGTTGTGAAGCCACTAATTTGATGCATAGGTTAATTTGTTTCACTTTTCAGGGCTTGATTATTTTATCCTTGTTATTCAGGGATCGATTACTTTATCCTTCCTATTTAAATTTGTTTTTGTAATTATATGCAAATATTTAAGTTTCCCAAGCAAAGTGCATTCAGCAATATTCTTCCTTGTCCCTTCCATCCTGTTCCTCTGCTCTCTCAAAGAATGAGGTACTAACTTCTGATTTTTAATTGATTTTTGTTTGTCCTTTCATTGTTGATCATCCACCAGGCAATGGACTGACGTCAGGGCGCTGTGTGGACCCCCACGCAGAAGGTGCAGCACAGCAGAACAAGGTGAGCTTAGGTGCACCACGAATTTGCTCACAAAGAAATTTCTTCTGTCTGAAGACACAAGTTTCTCTTTTCAGTGTATTTCAAGTGATGATTTCAGATTTAAGTGACTTGCCGGCTATGGTGGCAAATGCCTGTAATCCCAGCACTTGGGAGGCTGTGGCAGGAGGATTGCTGCAAGTTCGAAACCATCCTGAACTATGTAGCAAGATCCTGTCTCCAAACAAAGAAACAACCCAAACAGATTGAAGTGACTTAATATTTTAGAGAAACCTAACATTTCTAGTGCTGCTTCTTCTTTTCTTTTTTTTCTGTCCTGGGGACTGAATCCAGGGTCCTTGCACTGGACTACACCCCCAGCACTTGTTTTGCTTTTTTATTTTCACATAAAGTCTCACTAAGCTGCCAACGCTAGGCTCGAACTTGCAGTTCTCCTACCTCAGTTTCCCAGACTGTGGATATTACAGGTGTGCATCATCATGCCTGTTTTTTTTTAAAAGAGTCTTGCTAAGTTGCCTAGGCTAGCCTTTAACTAGCAATTCTCCTGCCTCAACCTACAGAGTAGCTAGGACTACAAGCATGTGTCACAGCACTGTTTCCAGTGCTTTTCCTCCCAGTTTTTATTTTCACATGCTTGCAATACAAAATGATTACGTGACTCATGTAGAGCTGGTATGTGGGCATAATGCGGCCTCCCCCACCTCTGCGCTCCATCTTTTGGTCCCCTTCCCTTTTTTCTTTTTTTTCTTTCTTTTTTTTTTTTGTATTTTAGGACATAGTCTTTAAACTGGGGATTGAACTCAGGACCCTGTGCTTGCCAGGCAAGTGCTTATTCTACTGAGCTATCTCCCTGGGCCCTCTCACTGAATAGATTGGACTCATAGTGATCCTCCTGTTTACAGCCTCCCAAGAGCTGGGATTACAGGTGTGTGCCACCATGCCTAGTCTCAATTACCATCTCAGGGCATCCCAGGGGCAGGGCTGGCACAGCAGGCCTGAGGATTGAACCCTTGGCCCCTTCGACCCATTCATCTGCCTAAGCACTGAGCTATTTGGCCAGCCCTCCCTTTCCCATTTGAAAAAGATCTGGCTCCCTGCTTCCTATGATCTTTTATTTTGTTCTTTATTTATGGTTTGGGTTTGTCGTGTAAGAGACACCATGAGATATTTACACTGTGTGTTGATTTATTTCAGTTAACATTATGGGGCAGGGTGGGCCAGATAGCTCAGCAGACTAAAGTGCCTGCTTAGGCAGAGCACAGGGAGTGGAGTTTGATCCCCTGGTGTGCTGTGCTGCCCCTCCCCCAGGGCACACTGAGACAGCAATTGAGACTGGGTGTGGTGGTGCACACCTGTAATCCTAGGTCTTGGGAGGCTAAAAACAGGAAGCTCACTACAAGTCCGATCTGTGTAGTGAGACCCTATAGACCCTGTACATAAAAGACAAAAAAAAATTATGAGGCAAAGGGAAATCCATGTTCCTACAAGTGACTCAAGTTTATCCTTTATGACAGGGTAGTACTTCATGGTGTATAAACACATTTTCTTTATCCATTCATCTGTTGAGGGACGTGTAAGCCACTTCTACTAAGATTTAGCTAGCATGTGTTGTGCTGCTCTAAACGCAGTTATGCATGTATAATATGATGTCTGTAATTCTTTTGGGAAAGGCACCTAGAAGGGCATTAGCTGGGTCAAATGGAATTTCTAGTGGTTTGTTTTGTTTTAAATTTTTAGGGAAAGTTCTACATTGTGTTCAGGGTCTCACTACTAGATCAGACTCATAGTGATTCTCCTGTTTCTAGCCTCCCAAGTGCTGGGATTACAGGTATGTGCCACCAT